ATCGTTGTATATTGCACATGCACACATAGATAGATAGAACATAGATAGATAGAACATAGATAGATAGAACATAGATAGATAGATAGAACATAGATAGATAGAACATAGATAGATAGAACATAGATAGATAGATAGATAGATAGATAGATAGATAGATAGATAGATAGATATAGATAGATAGATAGATAGATAGATAGAACATAGATAGATAGATAGATAGAACATAGATAGATAGATAGATAGATAGAACATAGATCGATAAATAGAACATAGATAGATAGATAGATAGAAAATAGATAGATAGATAGAACATAGATAGATAGAACTTTATTGGCCACAAATGCACTGGGATACATGGATATGCATGGAAGTAAGAATACACACAAAAGGCTGAGCAGCAAAAGGAACTAAAAGTAGGCAGTCCAAATATATGTCATACAAAATTTACATACCTCTGTCATTAAGACATGTCAGTAAAACACCTAAATCAATAATAACAAAAATAAATAACGAACGAGAACATGCAGCAACGTACCAACAGAAATGGCGATAAATACGCTAAAACAGCGCAAAAAGGCATATAAAATTTATATATATATATATATATATATATATATATATATATATATATATATATATATATATATATATATCATATAGTAGGGAAAAAAGAAAACAACTTAAAAAGTTATAAGGATTTCGCATGAATCAATCTAATAGTTATGCGTACAGTGACAAGATCCCGTGAGTCATTTTTGCCACACCAGAAATATATTCAGTCATTAATTGTTGCCAAGCATCAAATCGGTACGTCGCAGAGGCTGGGTGTGGCACGACTCCACCACGTGCATCTCCCCTTCCCTCTCCTTCTCTTGCCCTTCCCTCGCCCCCCCTTCTCTCTCGTCCTCCCCTTCTCCCTCTCTCTTGGTCCTCCCCTCCCTCTCTTCTCCTCTCGCCCTTCCCTCCCCTCCTTCTCTCGTCCTTCCCTTCTCCCTCCTTCTCTCGCCTCCCTTTCCCTTTCCTTTTCTCGCCCTTCCTTCCTCCCCCTCCTTCTCTCGTCCTCCCCTTCCTCTCTCCTTCTCTCGCCCCCCCCCCCACTCACATCTGATTTGGGATTTGTCCTGCTCTGTCCATAAATACCGAGTGCCCACGGGGAGTGAGTGTGAAACTTCGCTATCCTTACTCATGTATGAGTAGGTAGGTAATGTCTATGGATGCTAGTAAGCGCCAAGTTGCTCACTCCTTTTAGTGAGTCGTTGTACGAGTGGTAGAGCGGCCGTCTTGCATTCACGTGCATTGGCGGCGAGGGATCGAATCCCGATCGGAGAGGTTATAATATTCATATATATATATATATATATATATATATATATATATATATATATATATATATATATATATATATATATATATGTATATATATATATATATATATATGTATATATATATATATATATATATATATATATATATATATATATATATACATACATATATATGTGTGTGTGTGTGTCTATGTGTGTGTGTGTGTGTTTATGCGTGTGTGTGTGTGTGTGTGACACACACACACACACACACACACACACACACACACACACACCATATATATATATATATATATATATATATATATATATATATATATATATATATATATATATATATATATATATATATATATATATATATATGAATTGTGGTGATCATTCCAGCGTTATATTCTGGACTTGCTGGCGCCTGCCCCCGAATCGCACTGGTCCTGCGACATGGCCTCGCAGGATTCCATGGCCGAACTCACTCTCTTCGCATGCCGTCTGGGTCGCCACGAGTCGCTGCGTCTATTTCGCCGGTGGATGAGGCACCCTGAGAACAGAACGTAAGATTCGACACTTTATTGGTTTCTTTATATGACCTTCATTGTGGCCGTCAGGGCTTGGGCCGTTCGATATCGCATGATAATTCCATCTATTCCCTCTCGTTTTCATGAAGTATGGGTCAATGTTGCGTCTCCCTTTGCTCCTGCATTCACTCTGCTGTAACATCTTGTCCTCTTGCCGCAGCCCTTACGGAAATGCTACCTTTGTTCCCCTACAGCAGCCTCTCTCCAAACCATTGGTCAGAGGTGCTTTGTACAGGCGTGAGTGCTGGCGGCGAGAAGGAATGGGAATTGGTCTGGAACGAGTACCTGAATTCCAACACTACGCAGGAGAGAACCAGTTTCCTTACCGCTTTAGCATGCAGTGAAAATGCCACTATTTTGTCGAGGTAAGTCTGGCTTCGGGGGATTTATTTGGGGTTAAAGATAATGGTTATACGAAATCGTTATTTTATATCGTTGGTGCAGATAACCCATCTTTCGTGCATTAGAGAAAAAGGAGCTTCTCGTTGTATACAAATTTCCATAGACATTTACCTCCTCCTTTTTATGGGATTACTGTCGAAAATTATAAACGGTTCTGTTCAAGAGACTATTCTTTTCTTGCTTGGGAACCTGCGTGGTCCTTTCCGTGTTTTCTGTTGCTACATTTTTGTATATTTTTCTCCGTTACCGCTGAGTTTACATAGATAGACAGACAGATAGATGAATGCCCAGATAGACATATAAAGTAACGAAAATCTGATATATTATCAGAAATCGAGGCGAAAGTTCAAAAAGTCGAGAAAGCGATGTCAGCTAATAACAGCTTTGTGATTCCTATGTACTAAGTTCTACGTATTTTTTTTTTTTTTTTTTTTTTTTTACCTTTGCCTTGACCTTTCTGTTGTAGGAGAGTTTGGACCATTTCTCATTGCTGTGAAATTCAAATGATTTTTATCGGCTTTCCCATTTTGTATTAAAGCGTATTGTCAGGATTGTATTTTACGTCACATAAGACGCTACTTGTCATAGGACACAGTATTTTTAACACTACATTAACAGAAACGTATTTCAATTTTTTCGACTCCCACAGAATTTCATTTCTGCATCATAGTTATGCTTATATATTTGCTTATCTTCATATCTGTCATTATATTATGATTCTGCTTGTGTTTCGTTCGTCCGTTCGTACATTATTTACTGTTTACGTCTGAAATCCTATTTTGTGTGTGCTCACTTGAAGCCTCTTCGTGCTTTATATAACTGAGTCATGTTGTGTCTGGAATCAAATTCCATGCGACTAAGGCCTTGAAGTCTATTCATAATGTAAAATGGAAGTGATAATTGACAACATAATATTAGAGAATGACACGCACGCAAACCTGCGAGAATCCTATTCTAACTCTATCATTATCATTATTACTGTCATTGTTGCTGCTGTTATTATTATTCCAATAATTACCATCAGTTCATTCATTTCAACAACTATTCGAGGGGGATATGAAAAGAGGGAAAATGGAGGGGACTCTCAGAGGAAAAGGGAATGGGTAAGGAGAGAAGGGGAAAGAAAAGCAGGATTAGAGAATATTAAGGCATGGAGGAGCCATGACTAATCCATTATTCATGTCACTGATTTCAGAGGATGTCAAACAAAGGAAATCAGCATAGTCAAACTTTGAGCATTCACTAGCCTTGCCCAAAAAGTACTTGCAGGGCAAAGAACGCAAGCGATTTGGTTGGATGATTTTCAGGGTCAAATGGACGACTTATATGGCGAAAAATACGGTACGAGTCGAAGAGAAAATAATAGAATTTATACCTCAGTAAAACTCACCTCTCTTTCACATATTAAAACTCACTTCTCTTTCGGGCATATTAAAACTCACTTCTCTTTGCTTTCGCAAACTCACTTCTCTTTCGGAGATGAGTTTCAATCCTGACATGGGATTCAGAAAAGATAATTTTAAGATAATTTTCAGTGCAGTCGCCAATAATATCGTCGGACGTCAGATAGCCTGGACCTCTTGAAGAAGCACTGGAATGACATCTTAACGTTGTAAGTCACAAAATATTCGTATTCAGTAACGTTAGAGGTTATACATAAGCTTCTCTATTAAATAATAATAATAATAATAATGATAATAATAATAACGGTTAAAAAAAGTATGTATTATTCTTCACAGTAAAAATAATAAATCAAGATAATTTAAGTTATGACGAACTTCTATTAGAACAGTCCTGATGTAATTCATAAATCTAATCTAATCCTTGTTAAGACAGAAGCTATTATCCCCAAATTTTACTCTACCGACTATCATCTCTTAATTAAAACAAAATAAAAAAGCTGTAATAAAGAATTTCGTTACTTTCAGCAAGAAGCAACACAGAGGATACTTGCTGAATAAAATAACCCATTTTTTAAATACGAATCGTGACCTGGCAGACGTAAGACAAGCTTCATAAGTTTTATTGTTTGAGGATATGTTGTTTTGACTAGTTAGTTCTTTATATAATTGTTTACGAACGGTTGAGAAAGTGTAAATTGGAGAATGAGGTATAACACAAAAGATAAAAAGAGTTATAGATAAAGACAGTGTCAATAGTTTTCATGAATTTTCCAAACAGGATCACATTCATACAGATTTTTTTTTTTTTTTTTTTTTGTAATAACGCACTGTATTTAAGCACGGAAATAGTATATGCTCTTAATAAATTCCGCATTAAGTTACACCTTCCTCCCGCAGCTGCAAGCGTTTTTGCAAGACAGGAACACCGATCTGACAGAGGTTGCAAGAACCGCTGAACAGGTGTTGGAAAGAACCAAAAACAACGTCATGTGGATGGAGGCGAATGTCCCCGAGATTGTTAAGTTTCTGGAAGATCATGGTTATGCATCTCCAGAGGCCCTTTGAAGCTGGCCGAGGAATGCTCTTTGAATCCTTTGCTATTGTATATAGAAATCTATTTCAATTCACAGGGGAGAAAAATAAGCAACATTATGATTTTTTCTTACTTTAAACCAAGATGTCTACTGTAGTATTTACAAAGACCAGTGTTAACTATCATATTCTGGTGAATCCTGACGAATCTCTTACAGTATATATGTATATGTACATATGTGAATATATATATCTATGATATATATATATATATATATATATATATATATATATATATATATATGTGTGTGTGTGTGTGTGTGTGTGTGTGTGTGTGTGTGTGTGTGTGTGTGTGTGTGTGTGTGTGTGAATATATATATTATATATATATACACACATACATATATGTATGCATATATATATACATATATATATATATATACATATATGTATGAATGTATATATATATGTATGTATGAATGTATATACGCACACACGCACACATATATGTATCTGTGCATGCGTGTATATATGTGTGTGTGTGTGTGGGCATATATATATTTTTTATATATATATACACAAATATATGCATGTGTGAGTGTGTGTGTGTGTACATATATATGATATATATGTGTATATATATGTATATATATGCGTTTGTGTGTGTGTATGTGTGTGTGTGTATATATATATATATATATATATATATATGTATATACATATACATATACATACATGCATATGTATGTATATATATATATATATATATATATATATATATATATATATATATATCAATGTATATGTATATACATATATGTATATATACACACATATATATGTACATTTATTTATTCATATATATTTATATATGCATGTATGTATGTACATATGTATGTATGTATATACATATGTATATATATATATGTATTTATGTATGTATGTATATATGTATGGATGTATGTGTATACACACACACTCACACACTCAAACACACACGCAATATATATGTAATATATATATATATATTGTCACCGCTCCACTATTTCCTTATAACTTCGTGGTGGAATGGATAACGAAACACACTTATTTTCCACCACTTTGATGATGCGATAATGCTATGGTTCAATATTTACACGGGCACAGATTCTCGAGGCAATAACTGAGTGAGCGCGAGAGGACTGGCTTCTCGCTTGGCTTTATATACACGATTAATGCTGAATGGGGCAGTTTTATTAGCCTCTCAAAATCCCCACTTGATCTTGCCTTAATATATAGACAATATTATATGTCAATATTATATGTAAGTATCAATAATAACAAATATATAACCCAGTTATGATTGTGACAATCACATGAAATATATACTCCAATAATATAAAAGGATTAACATAATTACTTACTACCATCCCCAAGATGTGGAAGGTGCCCTATGTGTCAACGTGTCAAACTTGTCAACTTATTTGTTTATGTGGAACGATGGAATACTTATTTTTGATTCCCTGTGATATATATATATATATATATATATATATATATATATATATATATATATATATCTATATATATGTATATGTATATGTATGTATATATATATATATATATATATATATATATATATATATATATATATATATATATAATATATATATATACATGTGTGCATGTATGTACATGTGTAATTGTATGTGTGTGTATATATGGCAATGTATGGCAAAGCCCGATTCGCTCATAGAGAGTACCCTTGGAAAGCTGTTTAATAGGAGGAGCAACTTCAGGACAGGGTCTGGGCAACGAAAGGATCCCGCTTACTCCTTGGGAAATAACAAGGAAAATTGGAAACAAAAAAAAAAAAAAAAAAAACTAACCAAGCTATATGGACGTGGATTGTTCTTATCGATCTGATATAAAATTATTTTATTTTCTAGCAGAAGTACTATTAGTGGAGAGGAACAAGTGACAGTAGTAGGGCCAGCAAAGTAAATGAAGGAGTAAGAGAAAAGGTAAACAGTATAATCATAATAATACTAAGAAAAAAGTAGAATAACACATAAGTTTTGTTAAACAGAAATAGTGAAAGCACTGTTTAAAAGCTGAATGTTTAATAACTGTTTTAGAAATATTTCAATATAACCGATATTGTAAGAATTTGAATAAAACAGAACTTTAAGAAAATATTAAAGCACAATGACAAATTAGGAACACTTAAAACGATAATAAAACTAAACATAAATCTGCAAGAGAGTTGCAAGAATAATACAAGTTATATTATAGGAAAGTATAGCCATTGCAACTGTAAAGTAATAAAGCAAAGAAAAATATAGATATAAGAAATAAAAGATGTAGAATGCAAAATTTAAAATGAAATGCTAAAGTGACTGAAACCGAATCATCCACCAACACGGCAGGGGAAAATGTATATATAAGAGAGTATACTTACACTTATAAATGAGGATCATACATCAGTGGCGCTCCAGGCTACTTACCGGGTCGCTGTCGTTGCTCAGAAGGCCTGGCCACAGTAGCCAACACGCAAGCATATGGCCGTGTGTCCTCAGGTATTTGTCTGTTGTATGTACATGTACATGTTTGCATGGGTGTGTATATATATATATATATATATATTATATATATATATATATATATATATATATATATATATAGAGAGAGAGAGAGAGAGAGAGAGAGAGAGAGAGAGAGAGAGAGAGAGATAGATAGATAGATATAGATAGATGTACAAATGCGTGTATATATTATAGACATATATATATATATATATATATATATATATATATATATATATATATATATATAATATATATATATATTATATATATATATATATATATGTATGTATGTATATGTATATATAATATATATATATATATATTATATATATATATATATATATATATATATATATATTATATATATATAGTGTGCATATATATATATATATATATATAATATATATATATATATATATATATATATATATATATATATAATTATATATATATATATATATATATATATATATATATATATATATATATATATAATATTATATATATATGTATGTATGTATATATGTATGTATGTATATATGATATATATGTCCAACAACGGATTTTAAAAGTATATGTATGTTTATAAAAGAATAAATACACATATATACATATATATATATATATATATATATATATATATATATATATATATAATATATATATATGTATATATATACACGTGTATATGCATGTATGTACATGAATTTGGATATGCGCGCGCATGTATAACTTATCTTTAAAATCCGTTGTTGGACATATATATCTATATATACAGTACATACATACATATATATTGATACTTACATATAAATCGTGTCAGCGGATACCACAGCGCTGGCTTCCATGTACAAAGCTTTTCCGATCTTTCTCTCTCTCTTTCGCTTTATCTATTTATCTATATCCAGCGATCACTCCTCATCCTCCCTCAATAAACCCTATTCTTTCATCTCTTCTTTATCTTTTCTCCTTGGTTATTTTTTGTCCTAGGTGATCCAATTTTCCTTGCTGCTGACGTCAGTCTAAGGAACTGCATTGTTTTATATCAGTATGTGTCCCCTCCCCTTCTCCCCTCCCATCAACCTCTCCCCTCTCTCTCTTTCTCTTTCCTCATTCCCTCTCCTCCCTTCCTCCTCCTCACCCTCTACCTACCTCTCTCTCTCTCTGTTGCCTTGGCAACGAAAGACCACTGATGATGTTAATAATATGAATATATATAAAGGGCGAACTGACAGAGCTTTAACTAATGTGAACATGAAAACGGCACATATTTATCTTTATTTATTGCAGTTCCATTTAATTTGACAGTTTCTTTCTAAAAGAAGAAAGAAAGAAAAAAAAATCATATCACTTGTTTCTAGGTTCACGCCCTCTCTCTCGTGTTCTTTTCTCCTTTGCGAGCTGAAGCGAGAATTACAGCGGCGACAATGTTTACGTAAAATGTGCGCAAATTGTCATGGGCAGTGGCTTCACATTGAGCCTTTTCAAGTTCCATGTATATATATATATATATATATATATATATATATATATATATATATATATATATATATATATATATATATATATATATATATATATATATATATATATATATATATATATATATATATATATATATATATATATGTATATATATATATATATATATATATATATATATATATATATATTATATATATATATATATATATATGGAATTAAACGACCCGTAGTTTCGAGGAGTAGCCGTTCTCCTCCAGCCACTGGACTATGACGTCATACTTTGTGTCCATCCAGGCGACGTTGTTCTTGACCTTCTCTTCTGCCTGCTGGACGCTCCTCTGGTTCCCCTCCAAGTTCACCGTCCTCCTCCTCAAAAACGACTGGACCTGAAGAGATGTGATTTGATTCTTGGTTAAAAAAAAACATTAATGTGATTTAATTCCCACAGTTGAAGCTACGGGATTTTGAAATGAAATTATGCATTTATTACTAGGTATAGGTGTCAGAAATGTTTATCCTACGTGATCTAGTTAATACTTGATTGCATTGCTCTATACACAGAATAACGACCTTACCCTTTTCAGTTCCTGTTTCGTATTGAATGCTTGTGTTAGCCTTTTCATGACGTCACCTCTCCGACTCTTCTTGCTGTGAAATGAAAGTGAAAAAATCTAGTATGCGAAGGAACCTACAGGTTGGCATTCCTTGTCATTGCCTTTGTCTATGTTTTATATTTATATTTGTTATATTTGCTTTGATAAAATATATGCTCACACTGTATTTTTGTGATAGAAGAAGACTTACAAAGTATAAATATTGTTCCAGTTATGTGTGAGGTAGTCCCACACCATGGGCGTCCCACGTCATTGCTACTCACACCTCTTAACACATAAATAACGTCTTGCAGTCTTATGCCATTGCTCCTGTTCGTAGCCATCTCGAGGTATCTGGAAAAGCATGTAGAAATTAACTATGGAAATATACATATCACATGCGCATCCTCTCCCTCTCCTTTCTGCCTCCGTCTCTCTCTCTCTCGCCCCCCCCTTTCTTATTTTTTGAACATCCAAACAGTCCCTGACACAAAACTGTACACCCTGGGGTTCGATGCAATAGCCGACAACCACCTGTCCCATTGCTGCTTGGCTCTCGACCTTCGTTCGTTCGTCCCTCCTTCTCTTCGTTGTTTCGAGGAGCAACCGTTCTCGTAACCGTAGAACGTAGTAATGCTGCTCCACGAGACCTTCCCTTCCACTTGGCCAAGGACTATATCGCCAGAGATTCAAGGTGGTCCAAAGTGGTCTCCTTCCACGAGAAGAAAGCCAATATCGGTTTCAGTTCAGCAGTTCTGGATTTAGCCGTGGTCTTGGCGCCCCTTGGCCATTGTGCAATCCACAAGTGCAGCACCATACCCTTGTCTTCCCCCGACACTCGCCCTGCCTCTCCCACCCGCCACCCTCTCTCACACACAGGCAAGACGACGTACCTAGATAGGATCCAAGTCTGCTTCGAGCAGGACATAGATCTGAGAAGAAGCCTTTTTCTCGGTAGCGACGCTGGAAGTAACGTACTGGTCCCACGCGAAGTCCCACTCGGCCTCCCCGCCCTCGGCGATGGCGCGACAGAACACCACAGGTTTAAGGCTTGGCGAAATGATGCTGAAATTTTTATACTGATAAATCTGGATATCATTATATTCCTTTGGGTAGAGTATCTAGTCCTTATTAATTTGGTATGACAGAAGGTTTGATAGTAGTAATTATAATGATAATTAAAAAGTAGAATAACCTACTGTTACAACCACTAATGAAGGTAAAATTATCGATAATGATAATCCCGAGATCAATAATGACAACATAACAATCATACTGATCCAAAAAAGTGTAGACACTGTCCCGATACGACATACACCGCGCTACACCTACCTCGAATTGTCCGGCTGTGACATCCAGTGCCTGTAGAGAGTGAGCGCTTTGTTGAGGCAGTCCTTGTGGCCCAGTCTGCAAGCCCATGTCACGGCTATTTTCCTCTTTTTTTGCTCCAAGAAAGAGTCCTCGATGTTGTTGTCGAACCCAACGGACTCGTAGAGCGGCAACACCAAATCCAGGAGGTAACGCTGGAAAGAAAAGAATGTTCATATACGCGTATGTATGTGTATACATACATACATACATATATATATATATATATATATATATATATATTTATTTATATAGATATAGATATTACATACATATATGCATATATCCATTTATATTCTGGTAAATAAATGATCAAACAATTCGGCATATCGGTTGCGGTTTCATCGCAGGCAAGTAAAACTCCGTGTGAGCCTCCGAGCCTCACCTTGAGAGCGCCGAATCCACTTCTGCGTCTGAACATACTCTCTATGTAAACGAATTTCCTGGCGCCTGTAGCCCAAGGCAGATATTCTCCTTCATTTCGCAGATACGGTAAAACGTCCAGGGCGAGCTTGTAGCTGAGATGACCTGAATGGAAGGTATCCATTTTTGCTAATCAAAAATTACGAAATCATAAAATGATTTTCATTACTAATTTTGGAACACGCATATATTTTAACTCATCAAAAATACACGTTCACTCCCTTTACGTTAGTGTATGAAAATATGACGTTCTTGAGTAATACAGACAAGAAAATCATAGTAACTCTTGAATATCCATATATGCATACAAAACAGCTATATAATTCCTTAGTAGAAGAAAGAAATACTAATAAAAAGATAAAGATTACTGTACCAGCCCTAGCAAGGTTCATGGCATCATCGACAATCTGCCCTCTGTTGATGGGGCAAATAACCTGGTGGTCCTTCTTCAGCTGCTGGATAATAAGATTCCAGTTGTGGTCGTCGTAGTTGACTCGGTAGTAGGCCGCCTGCTGCAGGTTGAAGATGACCCACTGGTCCTTCGGGGGAAGAGAAGAGACGGTGACGTGATCCTCAGAGTCCTTCATCCATAAACTGGCTTGAGTCTGGCTGAAGTTGGCCTCACTCTGGGTCGTGAAGGTCAGAGGCACCCACCACTTGTAATCCGTGGTGCTGGAAGAGTTTGCGCTCCCTTCTAAGAGGAACCGCTCCTGGAAATTAAGGCGGGGTATATATAGGGCCAAATGATATGTTTACTGAATATGTGTCCTCCCTTCCATCAAGTCATTAAGTACAAACTCACCTGTGTCAAAGTAGCAGAGGTTCCGTCGGGGCTCCTTGTCACCTTCACGACGGGGTATCCCATCTGCAGTGTCCACGTGTCCATGATCATCTTCACAGTCACGTCCTGGGGTAGAATGCCATCCTCGTGAGCCGCCAGAGTCAGATGCTTCCACAGGTCGTCTTGCACAGAACTATTGTATGTGCTACATGACAATGGACATATATTCAGGATGATAATATATAGAGCGAGACTTGAGAATTGCAAAGTAGCACGATATAAATTTCAAACCTTTAAGGTGAGTCATTATTACATCCAATTAGTATTACATGTCACAAGGTACACTTATATTAGCATATTTACAATGCTTTTAGATAGTTGTTCAATCCCTTCCTAAAGGTCGGCTCTGTGAGGTAGTGGGTCATCATCCGGATGATAGACGCTCCTAGGTCATTGTAGAAAGAAAATATAAAAGATAAGAAATGAGATGGACAAAGAAATACCATAAAAACCAAAACAATGAAGAAAAAATGCCGACCTTTATTGTATGATATCTCATCAAAGACTTCGAATATTTCGTCCGGGTTTGAGACGGGAATGTTGATCCTGTGGGAGGACTCCAGGCTGTCTAGATTGAACACACGATGGACTATTTCAACGACGATTTCTTCCATTGCCTTCCACGTTGGTTCCACCTTTTGAACATAAGCAAAATAAGTTTATATGTTTTGCATTTGTTTTATTTACTTTTACATATTATTATTATATTCATGACTCAAGTAACGTACATGATCTACTCCAAGGTAACTTATATAAGTAGCGAATCCCTCGTTGAGCCACAAGTCGTCCCACCACTTAGGCGTCACCAGATTGCCAAACCACTGGTGAGCCAACTCATGAGATACAATTTTTGCAATAACTGCCTTATCGGCAGGGGTTGAAACTTGTGGGTCGTACAACAAGAGGCTTTCTCTGTTAAATGAGAGAATTAATAGTAAGAACTCTGTCATAGCTAGAAATAGGTTGTGCATGCTGTGAGCAATAAGGTTACATGAGATTTATTTTAATAGAGCGATATACAGCCTTCAGAGCTCAGCCAATTCTACAACTATGGCTTCTTTTTGTCTTAAACTTCACACAACCTTATATTCGACCCTTTCTCTGTATACAAATATATCACTGATCCCGGCTCCTGAGTAAAATGGGTTATAATATTTAAAACAATACATGATGGTGCTGTAATACCAGACCTCTGTGCTAATGTCACTGCCTTACCTGAAAGTTATTAGACCCCAGTTCTCCATACTTCCCAGAAGAAGTCGGTTAATGCAATCATGTCCATCTTCGGAAGGGGATAAGATAGGTTGAAATAATCTTCAAAGAAACGTAAGATCTTGGGACCCTACTAACTCATTTGCATATTCTCTGCTTGATCTATGGTCTCTTGTCCGTGCCCAC